AGCCGTGTAGACAAGGAAAACCTCAGTGTGCATCAAAGTCACCTGGAGGGCTTATTAAAACACCGATCTCTGGATACCATCTCTAGAATTTCTGATTCCAGAAATGATTCTGGGAACCATTTCTAACAAATTCCCAAGTGATGCCGCTGCTGATCAGGGACCACACTTTGAATACTAGTGCCCTAGGGGATGACGGGGTGGCAACAGAGGAGACACTTGGGTTTCTAGATTACCTTGTAGGGTAGATCTGCTTTCTACATGGACTGCTCAGTTACCCCCATAGGACAGAAGTAAACTATTATTAAGTTTTTTGAACCACTGTAGTTTTGGGTCAGTTTGTTATAGCAGCTGAATGTATAGCAGCTAAGTCACATTCGGAAAATTGAACTTTACCAAGGGAGGCAGTATTGTGTAGTGGATGTATATGGGGCCAAATAACATGCATTTGAATCCCAGTTCTGCCACTTCTAAGCTGTGTAATCTTGGGCATGTTATTTAACCTTGTGACTCGGTTTTCTCCTCTATTAAATAGATCCAGAGGGACAAAGTCACCTAGAGCTCATCCCATTTCTAGACTATATCCAGTACCAGGGCCTAGAATTCTCCCCTGCCCAGTAGCCATGAGCAGGCTTCCAAGGTCTGCATGGACTTTTCTGGCTTTGTCTGATGGCTGACTATAGCTTCCAGGTACCCTTGGTCTGAGATGTTGCCAAGGGGTGGCTGTGGGACAGTGGTGTGGGTAGAACTCATATGGGCTGGCTGGAGTGTACTATGTTAGACATGAGGTCTCTCTGGCATGTGATGACACAGCAGAGGATGAGGAGAGATTGAGGTGAATCACAGGCCAGTGGCACACTGTCCAAGGAAGTCACATTCAGGTAGCATGGAACAACCTATGAGTGTGATGAAAATTTTAATTTTTTTTTTTTTAAGACACAGGGCCACGTCCTGTAGCCCAGGATGTAGTGCACAGGTGCAATCATAGCTCATGGCAGCCTTGAACTCCTGGGTTCAAGCAATCCTCCCAAGTAGCTGGGACTAAAGGTGCATACCACCGCAATGGCTATGTTTTATTTTTTGTAGAGACGAGGGTCTTGCTCTGTTGCCCAGGCTGGCCTCAAACTTCTGGCCTCAAACAATCCACCCACTTCTGCCTTACAAATTGCTGGGATTACAGCAAATCACTGCCTTGCAAATTACAAATTGCTGGGATTACAGGTGTGAGTTATTATGCCTGGCCAGAATTCTAAATTTGAGTCAGGCTCTCCAGCTGTCATGAAAGAATATTTGTTAAGTTAGGAGACTAGAACATATTTAATAGTTTGATAACTTGATTTATGATTTTAAAATATTTAGACATTGGCATGGAAACATCCATTTGAACACCTGCTCTGCCCTGAAAATTTAGGGGGGTGCTGGGTACCTTGTCACCCTGGCATGAGAAATAAATATAACAACAGATTAAGAAAAGACTCAATACATGGCTTGGCACATATGGTATATACTCGATGACATTGATAATGATAATGTTTATGATTCTCCGGAAATCTTGAAAAGGAAGCTGGCTGCCCTCCCTTCATCTTCTCCATCTCTGTGGGTTGGAATGTGGATGTAGTAGTGGTGAAATAACTCCTGAGGGAAATTTTACCATAACCTTGACACTACGAAAGGACAAGATGGCACAAGAAAATTAAATGAAGTGGGCTTTACTTATGATGCAAAAATCTTAAATAAAATATTAGCAAATAGAATCCTAGAGTCTATCTATATTTTTAAGAGGATAACATATTGTGCCCAAATTGGGTTTATCAGAGGAATACAAAGATGATTCGACTTTCAAAAATACATCAAATGTAACCTACTACATTAACAGTTAAAAAAATCATTCATATAAAAATCTTACTAGAAATAGAAATGTCTCCAACTTAGAAACTATATCAGCAAACACCACATTTGATGGTGAATTATTAGAAACACTAGGGTAACATTGGGACTATTAACCAAATCAGTGACCATAGGGGAATGAGCTTATGGTCATTCTGAGGAGGGAGAGAGACCAGCCAAATGGCGAGTTCCAACATGTCTGCAGCTGTGGAAAGAAGTAAGCTTGGTGGGAAAGAATTTGTGGGTGACCCATAGGCGAGAGTGGAAGGCATGGAATCCGATGAGATCAATGAGGGAGACAGAGTTAGGGTGAGAAGAGAACCAAGAAGAGAAGCCAGGACCACCAAATTAAGGGAACCATGATGCTGGGAGCCAGAGAATGAGTCTGGAAGGGAGCAGACAGAAAAACAGAAGCAACGGGCAACCTGGAGGGAAACAGCACTGAGGAGGAGTGTGTTCTTCACAGTCAAAGTAAAGAGGGCAAGGATTGAGGAGTCACAATCTGCTACTGAGAGCCTACTGTTGACCTTGGCCAAAGTTGTTTCTGTGGAGCGGGGAGAGCTAAGGGCAGTGTGCATGAGCATTCAATGGGACAATTGGAAGTAGAAGCAGAAAATGAGCACTTCCATCAGGAAGGGGAAGTGAGCTGTGTGTAGGCACAATGAGAAGAAGGTGAAGTTCCAGGGGAGTTTTATAAGGTTGTGGCGAAATCGATTCTTGTAAGTCCAAAGGGGAGCAACCACTGGAGAGTAGAGAGACTGACAAGAGACAGCAGGGAGCCGATGACTGATGGGGCAAGTTCCTGCTGAAGGTGAGAGGAAAGAGATGCTCATAAAAGTCACTTGCTGTTTCACCATGGAAAAAAAATAAATGAAATAATTTACACTGCCATTCACTTATTAATTCAATAAGTATTGATTAAGTATCTACCGTGTCCCAGGCACTGACCTGGTGCTGGAAATAAGATAGAAAAAATTCCCACCTTGTATTATGTAAGTTCAGTAACTTAAAACAGAAGCAAAACCAAATCTAGAAACAAACAAAAATTTGGCTCCTGTCAGGCCAGCACTAAAGGAGGTCTTGGAGGAAGTGTGTGTGATTGCTGGGCACTGGAGTCCCTCAGCAGAATACCCTCCTACCATATTCTATCACAGAGTCCTTTAGGACTATGTTAATGTGAGAGGGAAAAAAAAACTTTATTTCAATGACAAGTTTTAAGTATGAATGATTAGGACAGTCTCCTGCAGACTTGCTGTGCTTAATGCACTCAAAGCCTCAGTAAAGACAAATGACAATAAGCAAAAAGAGATGACACGTGCTTATTTACATCAGTAAACTTGATATTGAAACCTTCAACCCTCTGAATAGCAAGTCACTGGTTCTTTTCTTTCACCTCTCCCGCCCCTGCCCTCACCAGTTTCATTCAGATACAGCCTAGCTGGACCAAATCCATCAAATCGTCCTCATCCTTAATCCTCATCAGAGTTCTTAAAGTCATTAACCATCAATATTGATTTTGAAATAGAAAGAGAAAAGCAGAGAAGGTGTGTTTTGACCTTTCTCCTGAAACACTGCCCTCAGGGACCTACTGGGAAAGACTCCTGGACATATGACCCAGAACTATAATACATGTTAGAAGAGGTATATGCCATGTAGCTAGAAAGGAGAAATGCTAAATTCATGAAAAGGGATTCACAGAAAGGTTTAACAGAAAGGGCCTTTGAAGTAATTGACTGGGGACTTACTTGACAAGATGAAAATAATCCATCACAGGGCTACCTGATGGATGTTTGGCTTAGTATCCAAGTGCCCTGCAACCCCACCTAACATTTTTTTCCACTATGCCATGTTACCATATTCCCATATTGAGTTATACATGACTTTTCCAGTGAAGAATTGAGAGAATGACTTTTCTGAAAACCTTCCCACATGGAATGGATAAATGAGCATGTGCACCAAAGAAGATGCCAATATCAGAGAGCCAATCTCTAATACTGTCTATAAGATAAAAAGTTCTGAAGTGAAAAGTCATCTTTGTTCACTCTGTGGATTGTTCAGGTTCCTTGCTTTCCCCTGACCCTCATTCTTAAGACTGACCATTTTTTGGAGCAATTTTAGATTCATGGCAAGTTGGAGTGAAAGATACAGAGATTTCTCATGTACCCCCTGCCCCACGCATACATGGCCTCTTCCATTATCAAAATCCCCCACCAGAATGGTTTGTCTGTTACAATTGTTGAATGTACACTGACACATCATTCCCCAAAGTCTGTAGCTTATACTGGTGTTTCACATTCTACCACTTTGGACAAATTTATAAGGACACAGATCCACCATTATGGTATCATGTAGAGAGTTCCACTGTCTAAGAATCTTCTGTGATCATTTATTCATTCCTCCTTTCTCCCTAACCCTGGCAACCATTGGTCTTTTTAACTGTTTCCATAGTTTTGCCTTCTCATGCATGCCACAGTTGGTAGCATATGGTATGTAGCCCATTTTTCTGCTGGACTTAGTGATACACACTTAGTTCCTTCATGTGCTTTCATGGCTGGATAGCTCGTCTCTTTTTAGCATTGAATACTATTCCATTGTCTAGATGTACCACTGACATCCACTTTAAACCTTCTGCCCATTTCATTTTTACCCTCTAACCATTTCATTACTAAAAAACAAAACAAACTCTGGAAAGGAGTTTGTTGATGAGAAAACACTGAAATTATGATTTAAATTGAGGAATGGAGATTTTCTGTGGATAATTATCTATGTTCCACTTTACCAAAGAAAAAACGAATTTCAAGTAGTACATAAAGCAATTCTCCTTAAAAAATGTGGGAATAAAGAGATCAGTCCTGGGTACTGGGAATATATGTATCTCTCAGAAAAATCTTGCCAGAAAATGCATCAGACTGAGATGAAATATTCTGGGGTATATTAAATTTTATTCTAATATTGAAGGGAGAAATAAAGGAAGGAAAGAAAAATGAAGCACGATGAAAAATAAGGTGATTGAGAGAGAGGAAAGACAGAGAAACTTGTTAACTACAGGACTTTCTGAGCAAGATATTTTTCTTCCTTACAAGTTAGAAGCTATTGAATAATTCATGCCAAGCGTGGAAAGGCTGTCTTTTCCCTGGGTGATGTATAACTAAGCAGGAGAGAGCTTCGAGTGGGTTCACCACATCAGCCACCACTCTTGCTTCTGAGCACAGGGTGCTCTCCTCTTGAGCTCAGCTTCTGCTTTTGCAGCCAAGCATTCTTGCTGCTGCTGCCTGCCTGCCCACCCGCCTGGGCTTGCAGCCCGCCACTTTACTTTCCAGCCCTGATACCAGCTGAGAAGTCTCCCTGCAGCTGCTAGTGCCTGCCTAGGATCATGTGTGTGGATGCTGCTTGGGAGAAGCGGACACTTGCTCCTGGCACTGATCCCAGCTGAGTTTCTCCTGTTGATTTCTGGACCACTGATGCTGTTACTGAGGAAGTATTTTCTGGCATCCCTCCGTGTGCGACACCGGCTAAGGACCAGCCCAAACGCAAGGTACCCTTCAACCCTTTCCCATGGCATTTTCCCCCCAGCTGGGATATCTCCTTTCTCCTGGAACTAGGGGCTCCAGCTGGCAATATTCGCCCCGCTGTGTGTGTGTTTGTGTTTGTGTGTGTGTGTGTGTGTGTTGGGGGAGAAGAGACTGTTTTGGGTATTGCTCTGTCCTAGGGCTTCCCAGATGCCTGCTGAATGTAATGCAAAGTGGCCTTTCCCCTGGATCTGGAGACATTTCCGAGGCAGGCACCTGTCATCTACCACCCCCGTCCTCCACGAGCTCCCTTTCTCCCCCTCCCCCAGCCCATTATTCAGCTTCAGCCTTTTGTGTCGGTGGCAGAGGGCTGAAGGGATGTCTTTGCCCTTCTGACAGGCAGGAAAGTGTCAGGATGGACCGCGCTGCCAGGAGCCGACGCTAGCGAGGGAGGTGTGAAGAGTTGGCCAGAATGACCAACTCCTCCTCCACATCCACCTCCTCCACCACCGGGGGCTCGCTGCTGCTGCTCTGCGAGGAAGAGGAGTCGTGGGCGGGCCGGCGCATCCCGGTGTCCCTCCTGTATTCCGGTCTGGCCATCGGGGGCACGCTGGCCAACGGCATGGTCATCTATCTCGTGTCGTCCTTCCGAAAGCTGCAGACCACCAGCAACGCCTTCATCGTGAACGGCTGCGCCGCCGACCTCAGCGTCTGCGCCCTCTGGATGCCGCAGGAGGCGGTGCTCGGGCTCCTGCCCGCGGGCTCTGCGGAGCCCCCCGCGGACTGGGACGGCGCCGGGGGCAGCTACCGCTTGCTGCGGGGCGGGCTGCTGGGCCTCGGACTCACGGTGTCTCTCCTGTCCCACTGCCTCGTGGCCCTGAACCGCTACCTGCTCATCACCCGGACGCCCGCCACCTACCAGGCGCTGTACCAGAGGCGCCACACGGCGGGCATGCTGGCGCTGTCCTGGGCGCTCGCCCTGGGCCTCGTGCTGCTGCTCCCACCCTGGGCGCCGCGGCCCGGCGCCGCGCCCCCGCGCGTGCACTACCCGGCGCTGCTGGCCGCTGCGGCGCTGCTGGCGCAGACGGCGCTGCTGCTGCACTGCTACCTGGGCATCGTGCGCCGCGTGCGCGTCAGCGTCAAGCGGGTCAGCGTGCTCAACTTCCACCTGCTGCACCAGCTGCCTGGCTGCGCCGCCGCCGCCGCCGCCTTCCCGGGCGCCCCGCACGCGCAGGGCCCCGGCGGCGCCGCGCACCCGGCGCAGGCCCAGCCCCTGCCGCCCGCGCTGCACCCGCGGCGGGCGCAGCGGCGTCTCAGCGGCCTGTCGGTGCTGCTGCTCTGCTGCGTCTTCCTGCTGGCCACGCAGCCGCTGGTGTGGGTGAGCCTGGCCAGCGGCTTCTCGCTGCCGGTGCCCTGGGGCGTGCAGGCGGCCAGCTGGCTTCTGTGCTGCGCCCTGTCCGCGCTCAACCCGCTGCTCTACACGTGGAGGAACGAGGAGTTCCGCCGCTCAGTGCGCTCAGTCCTGCCGGGCGTCGGCGACGCAGCGGCCGCCGCCGTTGCCGCCACGGCCGTGCCCGCAGTGTCCCAGGCGCAACTGGGCACCCGCGCCGCTGGCCAGCACTGGTAACCCAGCCGGGGCCCGAGGGAAGCGGAGATCCCCGGCTTCCAACGTCCTGGGTCACCGTCCCCTCCTTCCCTCCTAAGGCATCCCCTGCCTGAACTAAGACTCCCGCCGCGAAGCCCAATAAACCCGGGGAAAATGTGGCCTTCGACCCCAGCGGGCTACCTGAACCCAGGCCTCTCCCTAAGTGGGGCGGCCGAAGTCATTTTGGACGGCCACCTTATTTTTACCCTTTGTTTCTGTGTTTTAGAGAAATCCTAACGTCAAAACACCAGGGACTTCAAGAACTTGTAAACTGGCGTTTTAAAATAACCGGTTAATTTATTTCGACACTGTTTGTTTTTGAAAAAGAGCTTTCATAATGTATAACCCTTGCCACTTTCATCGTCTTATTTATGAAGCGCCTTGAGTGTGCATGAGCCAAAGGAAATAATACTGAAGGAAATCAATATGTAGAAAGTATTTTAGAAAGTAACCTGTCTTTGATGATGCTTCCCTTACCATTTAGTTTTTGTGTATTAACCTGGAACAGTGAAGCCCTAGGTGTGCCCACCAGTGTGAGTTGCCATTAAGACCTCAAGCCCTTTATTCTTAAAAGGGTTTTTTATTAAGTCTTTCTCGAATGAGGTAGAATCTTAGCCAGTAAGAAAACAAATTATTTTATGTTCCTTTTTTTTTTTTTTTTTTTGTACTTTTTTTTTTTTTTTTTCTTTTTTTCTTTTCTTTTTTTTTTTTTTTTTTTTTTTTTTTTTTTTTTTTTTTTTTTTTTTTTTTTTGTACTCCTAAGACTGAAAATTGACGTCGAGCGTTAAAGTGAACATTTTCCAGTTTGATAATTGATGGTCTGAGCCAGCACTGGAATTTGGAAAACAAATAAGGTGATTATCTATTTTAGGTACCGTTTCACAGTTTCTATAGCATGTACACTTGTTGCTACCCTCATTTTGTAACCAATTTATTTGCCTTATGAATGTGATTGCAGCTTTGAACATTCTGTACTATAATGGTTGCTAAGGAGAATAAGTTCTTCTGTTTTCTCTTTAACATTTAAAATATCTAAATGCACATGATATAATTAAACACGAATAATACCATGACTGCATAGCTAATATTAGCTGCTATTGCATGCTCCTAGATGCTAGAACTTATTGGGCATGTGGTATACTAAAGCAATACCCGTTAGACAAGGACATTTTACTTCTTCCAGACACCAGAAGAAATGGCCTTCAATTATTTGAAGAGACACAGAGACACCTCTGGCTACCTAGAATTCTTCCTGTCTTGACCCAATTTATGAGAAAGCTCCCAGTTGGGACTTTATCTCACAAATGGAATCACAGTCAAGATGGATCGATAATATGTTTTGGCTCAGCAAAGCCAGCTGTGCTCTTTTAGGGTTTAAACAAGCCACATGTTAGAAAGCAACACTGTTTTTATGTAGTTCATATATATTACCATGACATTTAACATTAATATTGTATATGTTGAAGGAGGTGTAACTCAGTCATATGTGGTGAACAGTTCAAAATGGAAATGTGTTCTCAAATGTGTTATTTGAGAGTTGTCATTTTCATTTTCGGTTTACTAAATTTACTTAGACATATTCGAAATGCAAAATTGTGTAAAATCACCTTATCAAATTAAAATGGGAAAAAGTAATTTTAATAATCACATATCAGCATTCTGACTACTCACCACACCAAATCTGGGCCCAAATAGCCTCAGTTAACTGCATAATTCAGGAATGAAACCAGCTTGCTTTGTTGCATTCCTGGGCGATTTAAGCCAGGACGTTAGGAACACTCGTGCATTTGAATAATTATGGAAGTTGGGATGTGTTAAGGAAAACAAAACAAATATGTTCATCACCAATAATCAGCTGTCATTTTATTAAATCTATCCCTTTTGTGCATGCGCCATTTCTCTCCTACTAAGGTTTCATCTGTTCACATTTTCCTTGATTCAAATATTAAAGTTCAGACAACTATTCTGAGTTTTTTTCTTCTGTCTCTGGTTTTCTTGCATACCTCCTTGAGAACATTATAACAGAGGATATGGTATTCCAAAGCACTAGTGATGAAAGTAACTTCTTTTTAGTTTTATTTATCTAGTTTTTAATTTCTAAAATTATTTCTACTTTATATAGTTGAATGAGGCCCACATACCAGCATTAAAGAGAAACAGGTAAAATTTCCTTTCTGTAAGTGTTGGGGAATAGATTACAACAACAACAGAGAGCTGAGAATTTTCCTTTTGGGGCAAGGCTGGAGGGGGGATGCTTTTCTAAGCCTCTGTCAAAAAGATGTTCTTTTAATCAGAACTTCATCTCTGTTTCTCACTGTAGATGGCTGCAAATGACTTCCCCCGCTATTCCTATAGACATCTGCCACACATATGAAGTCAGCTATCCAAGTGTATACCTGGTATCTTTCAATGTTTCTGGCTAGCACTGAGAGTCATCCTATGCTGGCTCCATGACATATGGGAGACCTATTTTAGATTAATTTACTGGTAATTAACTCCCCAGGACTGATTCACTTTTAACTTCAAGGTAGTAATGATGTGTCTAAAAATGCCTTACCAGGATACTAGCTGTGAGTGTTGGAGTTATTGCCTTTACAAATTAACAGAGATCATGTTTTTATTTAAATGAAACCACATATTATCCACTCAGGAATAAAAAATCCTAATTGTGGTCATGGGCTGTCCTATTTTGCCTTTTCTACTTTTTTTTTTACCCTTAGATATATGCCTATTAAGGCATATAGCACCTGCCTCTATTTCCCTTGCATTTTAAATGGCTAAATTCTAGGACGTAAGAGATATTACCCCTAGCACTTCCCTTTTTCCAAAAATGTAGCATGTGAATAAACAAGAATTCTGTTTTTCACAAAAGCATCCACAGGTTATCTTTGTTTTAAACAGGACAGGGAGATTTCCAAGGTCAGACAAGTTTTCCTGTGTCTCACAAGTAGAGGGAAAGATTTCTTCAGTCGGTGTATTTTTTTTTTTTTTTTTTCAGTTGGAGAATAGAGTGGAGCTGAGGAAGGGTAAAGGGGCTTATTTTAATCCTTAGATAGAGAAAGTCCTTGAAAAGATCTGCTTATCAATGTAATGTCAGTTTGCTTTAAACTCATGGGGTAGTGCAACGTTGTTCTTCTGATAATAACCACATTGGTCAACTTCACTGTCTCAAGAGTGACCTTTATTCTGTCTCCTGGCCTTCAGACAATGTTCATCTGGCTCTTTGGTAGTCCCAGGAGCTGACTCGACAAAGGACATCAGTGGCATAAGTTCAAGATTATTGAGACAAATTGTAGATATCTGTTACTTTTGGGGCCTGTCCTAAAAGTTTGTGGGTTGCTGGGAAAGAGTGGAGCTCCAGATGGAGTTCTCAGTCTGCTGGAACAAGGCAGGGACTCTTTCTTCCCCACTCCCTTACAACAACTCGAGGGTCCTCATGCATATTTGTATGACTTAGCCCACAATTCCAAGTTCTGCCTATATCCTTCCCTCAGCCAGCCACCTTGGCCACTTCTGGGACCTAATGGTGCACAAGCAGGGCCAGAGCATGCCCTGGGAGTGGCTTCGAGTCATTTGGGCATGGAATTCCTGGGTTCTAAGTACTAGCTTCTGCTGAGCGAGGCACAGGCTCTGAGTGGGTGCATTTCATTGGGACTCCTTTCCCTTTGGGAAGGGTAGCCAGAAAAGGACAGAAGCAAAGCTTTAAGGCCTGAGACCCAGGCTGGGTTCCCACATTCTCTCAGGGCAATACTGATTTCAATACATAGGCCCTCTGCAGCATCCTTTCCTAGCCCCTCCCATCTTCATGAACTCCTTAAACAGGTGCCACACACACAGTTTGCCCAGATACTTAATTGCCAGGTCTGTCCCACAGACCCTGGCCCAGTGATGGATGAAAGGAGTACTCAGACACAGGTATGCAGTCTAAGAGCAGCTAGGGGACTGCTGAAGAGTACGCAGCAGTCCTGATAAGCTGGAGCTGCTTGTTTTTATTTAGTACAGATGTAATGCCAAGAACCTGGAGCAAACACACCAGCAGGTAATTAACATTATTGTTCCCCCTTACAGGGAGCAGTCACACACAAGGATGGTCCAAGGTCGGTTTCTGGACAACATGGGTAAACCTACTCCTTGCCCTCTGCCTCAAGGTAAGAGAACAGCTGCCTTCAGCTTATTCTCCCCGCCGAAGCTTTGCAGAGCCGTCTGACCTTTCAGAAGGACTGCTTCTTTCTCTATAGCTTCTCCCACCACTCTGGCCAATCCCCTACATTTAATCATATCCTGCCTAATGCAACAGGTGAGGAGGATGGTGAAGAGGGAGTAGAATGGATTTATATGAAACCAGATTTTGGATATTGATGATGGTGGAAGGGGAGTGATGGGTACATGGGAATGCATGGCATAGTTTTCTCTATTTTTGTGGTGTATCTTTGAAATTTTTCATAATGAAAAGTTAAAAAAGTAAAGGTAAACTAAAAAAAAATTAAAAAGATGAAGAAAAAAGGAGAAAAGTAAAGAAAGAAAAGTAAGTAACATTCCTGTGGTCACAGAATGATTAAATGGCGGAGCTGGGATTCAAATTTTTGTCTGACTCCACAGCATGAGATTGTAAATACTGGACTGTAGGATACAATAATAATTTTTAAGTCAAGAGTAAAATTCTTTTCATGGTATGGCCATTCCCTGACTTCCCAAATCTCTGTCTCCCAAACTCGTATCTTTGGCTGTTGCCTGGTTGATGTACACGCTACCTTTGAAATGCCCATGCTCTGTGTCTGAGCCTTGGTGTTTCCAAAGACATTCCTTGGGTGTCCTAAGTTTTCATCACTTATCCAACTTCCATCCTGCCTTCCAGGAAGACTCATTTAGTTTCTGTCTCCTCATCAGAGCTCCCACCACACCCATAAGCTCTGCTTCCAAAGGACGCCTGCACTACTTTGTTTTGACCATGTATCTCCTCCTATTGCCTCTTTCTCAATGTGCGTGTTGTCTCTTCAAAAACAGATAGGAAAAAGTTTTTGTTTTTGTTTTTATTTTTCAATTCCTTTGATTTTTAAGGGCAAATCCTGGTACCTTTAACCAGTTCTCTGAGATATACCATATATTTAATACAGGTTTGTAGTTGCATACAGTAATTTTAAAAGAAAAAAGATTTAGTTTTTTCCCTTGAATGTTTATTTTTCTCTTAATGAATTAGACCCAAGAATAAATCCTAGTTCCCACCTCACATCTTACCAAAGGATATCCCAAAGTAATAATGTGTAGGATTATCAGCCAGGCGTCTAAGTCACGTGCTGCCCGTGCTGTCAGCTGAGGGTGGTTTATACACCTGTCATATCCACGCTGTGTTCACACTGACTAAAGCAACAATAAAAAGTTTTAGTCCTAATTACTATTTAAATTCAAAGCTAAATTACTTAAGATGTGCAATTATTTCTCAGGGTCTTGCATAGAACAACTGTGTATTTTTCATTTGTAAAAGCTATTCAATAGCCATGCAACTTTGCCAGAATGCTGGGAGAAATAACTTCTTGTCACTTCAAAGCCTGCTAAGCCTGAAAAAAAGTACTAGAGATCATCTAGGATGGCTCCTTGCTATTTTTATTAGATAGAGAGTGCTTTAATGTTTAACCTTTCCTGGTATA